TATCTTTACGTACATAGCAGCAATCAGAGTCGGGTAAATTTTAAAAAATTCCTGATTTTTTACTGAATTTTTTGAGTTGATCGAAAGTTTATTTCTTTATCTGTAGCAAAGAAGAAATTATATTTTCATTCCCCCCACTCCTGAAATCCTGATCCTTACTGTATATAACTCTGTAGCGTGTCGCTCGAACTCAACGCGCAGGGCGCGTTTCTCGCATCGCTCAACGCTACGAGTTTCTTGATCTGTAGCGTGTCGCTCGAACTCAACGCGCAGGGCGCGTTTCTCGCATCGCTCAACGCTACGAGTTTCTTGATAAATTGAGACCGTGCACATCTTTCATAATTTTCTCCAATTACATCTTCAACTTGTACAAGCACATATCTAAGCTGTAATGGTATTATATACATTTGTATACATTTCATTAGTATACGTAAACTGCAACGATAGGTAAATTTGTTTAATTACCTTTTTCTTATTTTTTAGTGAACTGTAATACTTTTTGTGATTCTGAAAATATTACATACGGAAACAGCATCCATGAGCTTTGTGTTACTGTTGGAATTATAAACCTGAAGATTGAGGTTTATAAATGAAACAAAAACCAATCTATGTTTAATGTGTATAGAGAGAGAGAGAGAGAGTCTGGCCCATGTTTAGTGGAGGGTTTTCAGAAACGATAAGAACCGTTGTTTAGATTAAGAGGCGACGCAGAGTCGCACCTCCACAAAGAGGGTCCAGAGAAAGAATTTAGTCATCACTGGTGCTGACCGAGATCAGCAGTTGCCCTTTTGTAGTTAGTTCGCTAGAGTGATTGGAGAAGTAAAGATGGGTCCTCTGAGCGTTATAGAAAGAATAAAGTCTTTGTTAAATTAAATACAATAAAGTGTATTATTCTCAAATCCCATTTCCAATAGTTACCGTGTATATTTTATTTAATAAAATAGTTCATCGTTTGACAATCGATCGATATAGTGACGACCGGAGAGAATTGATTTACGAGAAACGGAGCGATATGAGTTGCGCTCAGAATTATACCGTGACATTTGTTTCATTGACTGATCCACGTGTCGTTCGTTTCATTTACAAGTAATCGTGACTTAACCTCTCGTTCGTAACGAACTTCATCAAATCTTAGTCTTTTCGTGATTGTCCACTAACTACAACGCAAGAAACATGTTTAAACAATTGTAGTGCCCCGTCGAAATTTTAATTTCTTTAAGGTGTCGAATACGGCACTGCCTTAGCCAAACGGACGCCGTTTCCGTTTCTTATGGAAGAGTCAGTCGACCACGGATTGTACACACTCGAAATAAAGTCTTTATTTTCTGAACTAAAATCGTTATTTACTAACGAGAGATTCTACATATTTGGGGGCACCGTCCGGAATAGTCTATTGTTATTTAACAAGTTAATCAATTGAGAGTTTAAACAATTTTTCAGAACGCATTTTTATTTCTTCGTTGCGTCCTCTATTCGATGCGATGAATTCTGTACCGGACCAGGCTGCCGACCCCCGTGCCCTCCGCAAATAGCGAAAACCGAGCATTGCAGCGCTCGGACCTGAAGTGCGATAAAATACAAAGAAAATAATAGTCTTTTCACGCATTTTTATTTTGCTTTCGCAAATCATGAAAAAATCTGAAAAGGTTAATTGTTACGCATTCATACATGCATATTTTGTTACTACTAGTAATAAATACAATACTTTTTAATCACTGCAACTTATTATTTTAAATTGTGCGCAAACTTCGTGCGGATTTTGTGCCGTGTCAATTTACCCCCAACAATTGCCTTGTACCCAGGGTAAGTTGTCCAATCGCACCGGCGTGCAGAAATAACTTTTTCTTTCATTGTTTACAGACGCTTAATAAATCTTGGACTGCAATTATTGTGCCAGAATGTATGTCCTATATTTCGATTTATAATATATTCAAAAATTTGCATTATCTCACTCACAATTAAACATTATCGAAAAATTGTATGAATTTGCTCTGGCCTCCCCTGCTGGCAAAGAAAAGAATCGCCCTTGTATCAGGTTGTTGCATTTTTTTTATGAAAACGGTCCTCATCTAAACATGTACAAAATATATGAGTAAATAAACATATACAGAGGTCCGAATATTTCGCCCCTTTGAAAGCAGTTCCAACTTTTACAGGGGCGAAGAGGGCGCCAGTGAGCCGTGCCTCACTTTTGAACAATGGCATAAAAAATCTCCCCGCTCATTTCTGGTTTACTGTATATTTCAGTGCGTCAAACGCGTAGAAACGCGCCCCCAAATAATGCTCGTGCCTATTCCTTTTTTCGTAATTCGAACGTGACGTTGATAAGAAGGGTACGGAAGCTTTTCCTAGCAGTTCCAGTCAGCAGTCCATGAGAGCAACATCGACCGTGTAAAGAACTCATCTATTAACAAGTAAGTTCAAATGAAACGTCGGAAAATACTTTTTAATGAAACTTTGGCTCTCTTTACTATTTTCAAACGGGTAAATATTTATACAAAGGCATGGTTTCGTATACAATGTGTTCGATGTAAACCATTAACGATTAACAAATATACGCGTTCCGTGACAACAATCAACGTTGACCATGCGTTCTAAAATGTATTCTAAAATTCGCTTTAAAATGCGTTTTAACACATTGACTGCCGTGGGGGTCACCGGTGACCGGCAACCGCCTTGCGATAGTATAATACAACCATAGCTTTAACGTAATAGCAAAATTTACGTGTTTGCGGAACCGTGTCTCGACACAAACTAACTGCGAATGAGCTCATCAAGTAAATTGTGATTACTTTTCGGTCCCCCTAATACACTCGTCATTTGTTTTGGCAGTCAACGTGTTAAAATGTGTTTTAATATGCATTGTTGAAACTTCAGAATTTTTGCTCTTGATATCAAAAATTTGTAGATAAATTCAGACTCATGTGCACTCGTGTCGAAAGTTTCCAGTGTTACAATTTTGAGTGATAAATGCGATTGTAAAATGTGGATCTCTCATGCCGATCTGATTATAATATCGGTTTTACTGAATGAGAAAACAAAGAGATGGCTTTCGCGCTCTTCATTCTCTTTGTATGAAACAGCGGCGCAATATGACGACAACCTACCGAACTGTAAGCGAGAGGAACGGTTTTTTTTGTTTCCTTTATTTCCATTTTACTTCTTTCGCAAAAGTATTAAGGGAATCGTTAGGCTTTCGGTTTTCACTATTATTAATAGGAAAATCTGTTCTCCTAGTACGTTATAATAATCGACGGGATTGAATCTTTAATTGAACCGCAAAATTGCGTAAAAAACAATCGTTGGGACGGTTCCATATTTTAAAACGCGTCTGTATTTCTTGGAACTGTTGTAAAATTTGTAGAGATAGTCATGTAAGTGCTTTAAAATGTTATCCACTTTTAATTGTCAGATAATTATTTTAACGGATAAAGTGACTGCATGGAAAATTGATATTAATTTCAAAGAAGAGCGGATTTGTCAGTTTGCGAAAAATGGTGAGTTTGATTTTTTTTAGCGTGGAAGGACTTGCTTTTTCAATTCGGAAATCTCTTTCTTTTTGCTGTAATTATACGAGCGACGATCGGCCGGTAGGTACGTGACGTGTTTTATTACGATTTTAGGCTCGACAGAGTATTCTACGTAGAAAAAATGTATAAAATTAATTTTTCGAAGGCTCGGGGAATATATTAGCTTTTGAACGATTATTCATTTTGGAAGGTGCGCCGCAAATTTGAAAAGATACAAATTGTTTATAATACTGACTATGTGGAAAATTGAAGCTAACGTTTGAGGTGACGCAATGTTGCCCATTTTTACATTTTTTTTAAATTCCATTTTCTTCGACATAGACTGACACTTTCATTCAATTTTTGAATATATACGATTCCTCGTAGTGTAATATGAAATATTGCCACAAAGGCATCATTTCTGTACTGCAATGAGATATACGACCATTAGTGAGTTCAACGTATTATTGTTACGTCGTTCGGCCGCGTATATTTTGGTAATAGACATGTTCTATTTAAACGACTTGTTAAATTTCTTAAAATTCTCTCTTTTTAAATGATGTAGCAAAACGTTAGCTTCCCAACGTTTATTAATTTTTTATCATGCAACGCGAAGTTTAAAAGCTACAAAAAAAATTAAGGTTTGAAATTACGCAATTTTGCAAATTTTGTAAATTTTCATTCTTTTCGACATAGACTGACAGTTTTATTTCATTTCTGTGTAATATGTCACTCCTTGTAGTACAACATGGAATATTGGAGGAAACACTTCCACTAGAAATCATTGTTCCGATTGTGCCGGACCGATCGGACCGGATACGAATCGCATGCGGGCAAAGGTCGATTTATACATGTCCTATCCGTCTCCGATTCGGTCGATCCGGCGAAATGAGAAGAATATTTTCTAATGGAAGCGTTTCCACTTCTGCGTTTCCGTTTCATCCGGTTCGATCTAATCAGGTCCGGCCAGTCTCTAGAGCTTCCACAATCGATCGGCCACTATCAGAGTTGAGTGAATTACTAGGTATTTTACTTAACAAATTTCATACATGATATAAATTACTCGAATATGGGACTTTACGTTCCTTCGATTCTTATTCCTGATACGCTTAAAATTCCGAAATTTCCATGGAATGTATGGAAACTGGAATGTCGAAGCCTAGGTTTTTTTAATGGTTTGCTCCTACTTGCCATTATTCATTACTTCTTTTTTTCTTTTTAACTGGAAGGTTTATTTACAAGTCATGTATACTTTGACCACTTTGGAAAAGTGAGGTTACAGTCCCGCCATCTTTATCGTATAATTTATTAGGTATTTTACTTGGATTTTATGGGTATTTTACGTAAAAAAAGCGCAAACGACGCGTTACTGCACAACCTCTGGCTAAGGAAGTAATCGCATCGTACCGACTGGAACGGAAACGGAGAAGTGGAAACGCTTTTGTGACAGGTTCTCCGCCACCATTCCCCGAAATTGTTAGAAAATATTTTTTCTCAAACACTTTCGTTTGCATGTTGCTCTAGGATGGTTGTTATTTACTCCTGGCAAAAATTTTGTTGCGATTTTTATTCGCGCTACTCGCCAATTTGGTTCCGTTTTATATAAAAATGATTCGTGCAACATTTGATGTTAATTATAAATACAATAAACATAAAATTAAAGAAAAAATCAATTTTAATTGTTTATCTTGCAAAACATTAATTATATACAAACAAATCTTTATACAAAAGTTGTAGATCTGGGGAAAATGCACGTGTTATTGTGTATAACTTTTTCTTTATAACCGTTTTTTAGAAAAATGCGGAAAAGCATGTCACGAATAATACTACTCCAAATACTAGGGTGGCTCTTATTTACTCTTGGCAATACTTTTTTTACGATTTACTTTCACGCCGCGACATGCTTATTCTCATTTTTCTCAGAAACCGGCAATAACATTTCCGCGATGGCGGAAAACCTCTAAACATTTATCTTTCAATGTCGGTCATGTGATTTCTGGCTGCAGACGTCTGATAGCAAGATCGTGGGCGAAGCCTCATCTAAAATAAGATTTATCACAAACTATCTACGGTATGCGGAAACCATTATGTACGTCCCTTCCGCAATTTATGCGGCACTTTTTTTACGCGATAAATTATAATACAATTGACGCGGTATTTTTTTAATTATTTTTTTCATGCCGTTTGAAATAAATATGTATGAATTTGTAAAACTTATATGTACAACTTTCATATACAATATTTTTGTTGGATTCAATCTTGCAATCGAACCTCGTATTAATAATTATACGACCACCCCCCGTAGACAACTTACTACCTCAAGGGTCTTCCTACGATCTTAAGTCAAGATTTGTCCCTTCTTGCCCTCAACCGTCATTAAGTCGCATTGAATTTTCAGCGCGCACAGTTTGGATTCCGTATTTTAGCTTCCCCTTCACGGAGAAGAAAAATCTGTAAAATGTACCGATTCTATTTGTTAAAATAGGGACAGCCGATTATTTCTGTTAGCGTTACAGTCAAGTTTCTGTTACTCGATTCCGTAAAGATGACAGACAAATATCTATAACGGTTACATATAAGTATTTGTAAAGGTTACGGATAAATATATATAAAGATTCTACGTAACTGTCCGTAGCGATTACAGGAAAGTACTTGAGTTATTTCAGATAAACATCTGTAAGTATTACGGATATGTAACTGTAAAAAATACAACTTGATACATGTAAAAATAATAGAGCAATATCTGTGAAAGTAACAGAAAATGTTTGTAATGGTTGCGGATAAAGTTCTCTAATAGTTTCAGATTTACATTTGTAAGGCGTCATCGTGTTAAAATGTTAATATTAGAGCCTCCCCAAATTCCTAAATAGTTCTTTTAATGGTATGTTCATATGTCAAAACAGAAATCTAAAACTCCTTTACAATCAAGAATGAATCATATTTATTCTTTTCGATGATTATAAAGGAGTTTGTAACCGTAAGGCGATGCCCGGAGGTTACTCGCGAAAATTGTGGGGAAAAATTCGCGTTCCACTGAAATGGAAGGAAAGTACTCAAAACAGTGGCTCTGATTTGTACTTGTATATTTTCGATTGATTTCAAAAAGGAATCTGAATTATGTTAAAAATGGATGCAACGCAAGACATCGCAACAATTTGGAAGAGTGGGTGAAGGCCACAGTTTATTGGCTGGCCCCGTGTGACGCACGTCGATCCACCTAGAGGGAAGAGCGGTGGAGTGGGGTTAAACCTCAAGGGGCCGGCCTCCATCGGGAAGGCCCAAATTTATGGGATTACGATAATGGGACCCGGCAGGGAAAATCCTCGATTTCGATAATCGCAGACAAACATCCGCTACGGATTACAACAACGGGTCCCTTTCGTTAGCGCTAAATAAAGGCGCAAACAGAGTTTTTGATGTCCGTTTTGTCATACTGGATACCTATAGAATATAAGTATACCATTAAAATGATTATCAGAAATTTTAAGTAACTCCAATATAAATACTTCAATGTTACAGTCTAAAGGTTGTATAACATTTGACTAAATTTCTTTATTTATGAAACAGTCAACTTATTTTTTTAAATCTAGTAAAGAATACATTCGTTGGATTTTTACACATATATCATGGTAGGGTTTGTCAGGATCTTTAGAATTCCTTGAAAAACGTGTGATAAAATGTAACCCATTATAATTGAAAGAAATGATAAAAGTTGCAATTGTTCCAAGAATAAATGAAAGGGTTAACTGAAATAAAAGTCAGTGAATTGTTTTTTTTGCAGAACATATATCTTATATTCCAAGTATTGGAGATGACAGACTTTGAAGATCACTTTTTAATAACACAAAATATTTTTTATGCTGAAGGTATAATTTTAGTATCACATTTAAATATCACTGTTTTTCGGAATATTTTACGAAGTGGCATTAAAATTTCATTATACAAATTATGAAACGACATATTATTTTTGTTATATGAAAAAATATAATTTCTATAGTTATGAACATAATGCCACACGTGTAAATGTCATAATGAAATGGGTTTTAGGAAGAAAATCGCCTGTTGTATGAAGTAACGCATTGCCACATACAATTTTGTCTTCTTCCTACTAATAAACAAGGCAGCTTGTGTGGGAGGTCATCATATGTAATAATGAACATAGAAGAATTGCCAGCCGCTACATTACCTTGATAAGGGTGAAAGTGTTCATAAAAAAAGATTGAGAACAAAGGGAAAACTAATAAATGAACAACTTCTTCAATTACATGAAACGAGCAAATTTGACTGAAAACTGCAGACGAAGAAACATTGTTAATAACAATGAAATCCTTTGCGTACTCAGTTCCATAGACATTTATCCATTTCAATGATGTGGTACACACTCGAGACTTAATGTTTGGAAAGTAAGTTTTATAATAAAGCAATTTAAATTTATCTAATTTGAACGGAATTACAGGTCCTATTTGTATATCGCAAGAGCGATAATACTGGATAAAGTGGTTCAGTTTCAATTAATATTTCATGGCCAAGGGTGAGCAACATTCATTTTGTTACAAGAAACGTTTGCCGTATTTTTCGATGGTTTATGTTTAGATTCATATCTGATAGATTAGCAATAAATTAAAGGCTCTACCATTTCTAGCCATCTTGGATAATGTTCCATATAACGAAACTTAGGCTTCAAAGTCTCGTTGAAAAGTTCTCGATACAGCGAATGATGTTCCGAGATAAGACTCTTTAATAATAAAATCCTCGATTTGTAGATCTTAGTAGAATGAAGAATTTTAACTATTTTCCTTAACTTTAAATATAATCCCCACACCCTATGACCGCTAAGTACAAATTCACCGATCATTAAGCCAAAGTATCGAACAAAACAAGTAATTTCTAAAGAAAACAACGATTATTACTTTCGAAAATTTGTCCAACGAAATAATCGGAGGTTTGTTTGGTTTTTTCCAAAACATCGTAATTAAAATGTTTTATTCTGAAATTTAGTATTTCGAGACTAAATGCATGTAAATGAAACAGTAAATAATTAATAATTTTAGACACGGTATACTTTGCTACGCCTTCCGAAACATCATGCATGATATCGAGCGCTACATTTTTTGTAATGTGGAATCCTTTTAAATTGTGCCACATGCACCGCTCATTAATACCGGTTTCAGAAACACTGCCTTGTAAATCGCTTTCGTAATTATCTATCATTCTTGCGGATCTTCTTCGCATACAACTTGTAGAATCTCTTTTCTAATTTTACATGTACAACAGCCAAAATTAGCTGTGAAAAATTCAACTAACTCTAAAATGCTGTGCAAACCTAAGTTATCACCACACAATAACGCAACTTGTAAAAATACGGTTACTTTATTTACTATGATACCTCAAACTCCCAATCAGTATGATGAGCATCGCCTTGGAGACATCTGTATAATAATCTTGGCTCGATTCTTATAATAAAACCACGTGTAGTAACACATACATACGTATGGTCGCAAGTTTCTATTTCGGTAGATGTTCTATAATAATTGTTTTCTAATTTAAAGTTAAGTAAAATGTTATGTTAATTTCCAATTAATTAGACAGTACGTTGAACTAAACGTACATTACCACTTGACAAAAATGTAAATAGTAATTCTTATAAATAAATAAAAAAGTGTAGGGAATATTTTTAAAGTAGAGTCCATTGAGTGTTAATATCGGTAATATTCATACTTTATTTTAACAAAGTATGCGGTAGTTCGGTGAAGGGATCGGCGTCGGACGCGACGAGTCTCCAAGAGTTTCGTCTTACGAATGTCCTGATTCCTCGTCCCTGCTGGATGGGGTGAAGTGGTCCAGAGGGAACAGGAATGCGCCTTCAAAAGCATTGGTGAAATTTAACAGGTTTACTAATTTTCATCCTATATTTAATATCCAAGCTGTTCATATCCCATCATTAGGAAATCTATCTAAATTACAAAGCAAGAGAAACATTGCAGTAGATTAGCACATCCAGGAAAAATTATTCACGTCGTAATACGTCAGATACGAGTCGACTTGTTCGAATCGAAATCGGACCCCATATCTCTATTAGTCTCTTTGGTGTATCGGTTGGAGCCACTGGATCACGCCAACGCGAACCCCTCTTTCGGCAAACAATAACATCTCTTCGTTATCGAGAAGTTGAAGTTCAACACCCGTACACTTTAGCATAGCATCGAAGACAAGGCCAGGTGCCCTGAAATAATGCAACGCGTCCAATTTGTACGTGGATGAACATTTGCGTCTAAAGTTTTCAAAAATCTCCGCTAAGAGTACCACGTCGGTCTTCGGATACACATCGAAATATCCATCCAAAGTCTTAATATCAAAAGTTGGCCGAAAAATGTTTCATTATGCTCGCGCGATCGAGGTTCTGGAAGGACTCTAAAAGGGGCCGACGAAATTTCTGGAATCGTCTCGCGGACGTCGGAACGCTGCTGGCAGATTCCTGGAACCGACGGGGAGGAACGCTGCGGCTGCAAAGGCGAAGGGTCCCCGTTGCATCACCCCGGTCGAAGTGGGGTCTCTCTGACGTTGCTTGACGTTCGAGCTTGCGGTCGAACGTTCTAGAAGGGCGGTTTTCGACGACCTTCGAGTCTCCGTGGCATCACCGGTAGAACGTCGCATACAAGGGGGAAAGGGAGGATAACGTAATGATAACGAGTCAAATTTAGTGAAGCTGATCTTAAGGACATTGTATATAGTCGTTTTAATTTCATTCGAGCAATGTTTCGTCTTATTTTATTGTAGCCGATAAAGTATCTGCTCGACCCAAGAATTTCTTTTTTTTTTCTAGAACGTGTTTCCGTCGCCCAGGGTATTGAGCTATATACTGCGGTTGTTTCTTATTCCGAGCAATAAAAAGATACCGCATTGTTATCGGCGGACCAAATATTATTCTCGAATATCATTCGAACTTCATACGATTCGTATCTAACGGTATCGATTTCGCATTTACTCGTTGGCAAAGGAAATTGATATCTGACACGAAATTTAATTTCATGAACTGCGATTGCAGTCGACAATACTTTCTTGTTGACGATACTCTATCTTACTAGTATGCTTAAAACGATAATACAATTGAGGGAAGATTAAATGGAGCATATTAGGATAAGTACATCCGATCTCGGTGAGTAATTATGTGACGAGCTCGAGTTAATTAAACTCATGACAATTGGCTGCTTGTGATGACGAGCTATAAAGTCATTTAAAAATGCTGTCGTTTTTACACGTTTTTACGCATTTCTTTCGCATTTTTACGCGATTTTATGCGTTTTGACCCGTTTTTACGCGATTTTACACGTAAATTTTGAAGTAATGTCACAACTAATGCTCTAAAAGTTAGTAACGTAGAGAATTCAATAATAATTCCCTGATAATTTGTTAAAAGTAAATGGTTGAACTTGATTATATTCAAATGGCTCTGATATATAGCGAAGGTTGCGACGCATCTCGTAGGAGAATCGACGAAGCGAATGAAGGCTCGATCCTTCTTCCTTCAGGGTCTGGTTCTGCAATACTGCTTACAATATCCGATAAAGTGTATTTACATGACGATGTTGCTACCATAACCAATCGAAGGATTTCATTTCTGTTGATTTTTATTTTCAGGGCCTGGTTCAGTTTTCTTGGGTGGCACAACTTTAGATTTCGCCGAGCATTGTAGAGAAAAGATGGAAGCAGTAAAAATTGGTACGATGAAAATACATTACATGGTGTTGACTCAATTTGTTAATTTACCCATCACAATTCGTCCTCTTTATTCTAAATTAAACATGTAAATTGATCGTTTTCTTTTATATCTGAAATTTAAGGGGAGAACCTTAAGTAACCAGCTAAAAATAAAATCATACGCGAGAAATCTTTTTGTAGAAACGATTCGCTGCAATTCCTAAACTTTTATTACATTTTGCTGTATATTACGGAGATGATAGAAACGGACACATGATTTTCTTCTACCCAGACAGAAATTCATGATCATATGATGGAGGAAAATCAATTTACAAACAATTTGCAGACCATTTGCTGCTTGCAATGTTTGCACTATATGTACGCATATTACACAATAAATTTGAACAAACATTTGCAGTAAATTTGTCATAAATGGTTGTAGCAATATATTTACCGCATACTCCAGTCATATGCCAGATATGCCATAACCGGCATTTATGACTTAAAATTTATGGAAAAGTTAACAAGAGTTATAACATCATTCTCTGACGTTAATTCATGGACATTGTATGAAGTTAATGCTACAAATGTGAACTAAATATGACGTTGCTCCATGTTCCCGTTTCCATCATGCCAAGACTCAAATATGAACAACAGACGGTGCAATTGTTTATTAGCAAAGTCTGAGATAAATTTAGCTTTACATATGCGGATGAACGTTGAGATATTGCATGCACTTAACCTTGTTTTATATTTAAGTATTTTTGGTTCGTTATTGTGTACTGCATATACGACTTCTAAATAAAAGGACTCATAAGCGACACCCTCATGACTTCTTTCATAATCTTTTATGAGGCAAATTGAGCGAAATTTTGCATCACTTTGTCTATCTGGGTTACCCATGTAAAAACGCATGATTTTCTTTTGTTTAGCGATGAAGAATACTGACTCTTCTCAGAAGGACTCTGAGAATGTCAAATGTACTCGGAATGAATCTGGGAGCACGGATATACAAGAAGAAGATTTAAAATCTGACATACAAAAGAAACTCTCCATGACAAGTTGTCCTTACACGTGGGGTATGGAGAAATTACTGACAGACAATGTATTCGAATGGGAGGATACGGATAGGGAGGAAATCCTTTCCGAGATAATGGGAATAATGATGATGCTACTAAAAGCTAACGTATATGACAATAAGAAGAAAATTGACGATGCCCTAGAAGAAATACAGAAAGCAGAAGACGTTTTTAAACTTTTACTAGGAAGGTAATGTTTAACAATAGATCCATGTTATTTTATCTTACATTTTATAGTTAGCTTACAATATGCCAATGACTCATGGAACGAATTTTTCTTAGTTCAGCTTCTTGTTTTATTTCGTGCGTTTCTAGATAATGAGACTGACGATTGTTTTTATATATAATTACATCAAAAAACACTTTCGGTATGAAAGACATGAACCGATTTAACACGCTATCGTGTCTATTGAGTTCAAGTTCTAATGTAATTTTTTCAGGTACATTTGAAAGTAATCTATACGTGAAACGAAACGTAAGAAAGTTTAAGGTGAAGTGAAACCCGTCCAGAAATTGAATCGAAGCCGGTAAAGAAATTTCTGACTATCTATATTACCGATGTTAATATTTATTTTGAGTCTTGTGTCGTACTAAATTGAATATTGTACCGAATAGTATACTTCCCGTCGTTTTCAAACAATGATTATAATGAAATCGCAGTAAAAGTCAGGAAAATCCCTGATTTCATGATTTTTATGTCCCAACTATCTGCATAGTGCCACCCAGCGCCATCTGTATATTTAATGCCAATTAGATTTTCTCTGAAACTTCGCGTTACCTTCGTCTTAGCACAGAAGCTCGTACGACACTTTTTCGCCTTCATCTCTTTGAAATGCGAGTTTATCGATTACTAGAATGTTCTAAATTATTGTACAAGTGTTCTGACGCTATCGTTTGTCATATCACAGCCATTAATAATTGTTTGCTGTTCGAAATTGGCAGCTCGGTGCATTTTTGGTTCTGGTCAAGACTAAGTAAAAAAATGTTATTTGAAAATCCAAATTTTAAAAGTGTCAGAACAAGTTTTAGACGCTCACGAGTCATGTGTCGAAGTTTTGGACAGTCGGGTCCAATACCCTTCAAAAAAGTCCTTATTTCAATCAATTGGTCTGAGAGGAATTTCACTTCACCTTAAATGCATGAAAATGTCATTGAATTGTATACGCAGACTTCGTTTCGTAACTTTGTGTTGCCCTAGTCAGCATTCAGACAAGATTTTTTACGATTGTACATTGTTGCATGTTTCAGTATACCAGATGATCAAAAATATTTATTGAACGTCCTGCGGCATATCATCTTTTCAACAAAAGGCCACGTCCTTTATGGAGCGAAACAATTTAAAGAGGCACAAATCGCATTAAAAGAAACCTACGTTCATAATGTTTTAAATTTGACCGACAAGGAACTTGGTAGTTTGTACGGATGCCAGGCAATTGCCTGGTCATTGTTCCGGATTAATACCGGACAAAAAACCCTGGAATTAGTTAAACGGGCTATTGAAAAAGATAATAAGAATGCTCATTGGTATTTTTTTCTGGGCAAAACCTTGAGGCGTCTGAGGCGATTCAACTTATATCGGACGTTTCCGTCTAATGAAGAAATGGAGGCTTTTGGCAAAGCCTTTTCGCTCTCGCAGTGCCCCACTATGGGCATTTACTATGCACAATCAAAAGCTGAATCGAAGCAACAGTTCGAAGCACGTTCCATTTATACACAAATTTTTAATTTAGAGCAGAAAAGTTTCAAAGTACAGCTACGACTAGCCCTCGGATTTATACGCCTGAGGATGAGCACTGAAGCCAAACAGTGTTTGAATTTGGCAGGCCGAGAAAATCCCGAAAATGTGACGTATTTGCACTACATGGGGATGTATTTGGACTTATGTTGCAAAAAATCAAAGGTGTGGTAATTATATCTTCCTTTTGAAGCGAAGTTTCTTACAGGACGGTGATAGGTGTAAATAATCTTCTTACGAAATGGACCCGTTTCGGAAAGTAGATCGGAGATGTTAGTTGGCATTTTAAATCTTTTTCTTATTATTGCAAAGAACAACCTGTATAAACATTTTTGGGTACGAAGGTTTCCCGCTTCTCCAATTCTTCTATGAATGAAAACACAGAGAAAATGCTGTACCATTTCCCCTTAATAATACTTGTACCATCCTTTTATCTGTATGAACTGCATTTTTATAATGTACAAACTTCATTATAAAAGTAACAATAATTAATAGACTGCCGCTTTGTTTATCGTGTAAATATACTGTTTTAGGAAGCCCTTGATTATTACAAACTAGCTGGCGAACGGGGAAATAGTGCATCGTATTGGTCATATATGAGTTGCATGCGAAAATTGAACAAGAATTACAATCCCCGAGAGGACTTATGCAAAATGTTGGACAAGTGCGAAGAAGATGATAACGTTTTAAAACAGAAGTTATTGCTTCATATAGCGGAATGTTACGAATATATGGATCGTGACATGAATCAAGCAGCTGAATACTACCTGAAAGCTGTAACAATTGATCCAAAAGGAGCAATCCTAAACGTCAGTATATTAGATAATTTTATTGTCATGACATCATGATAATTTTATAGACATGTTATACATTATCGGTATAATACATTTGTACAAATTTGCGCAATATATCTTCTTCAGGCCGTCGGATAATACGCATTGTTGTTATGTTGTACAGGGTGTCCCACCTTAAATAATTAATTAGAATATTTTACGAACTAAAAGTTTAATCAGAAACGGCTTCATATAAAAGTTGCACGGTTTCGAGGGCGAAAAAGCAGGGAACACACGGAGAAAAATATAGTATTTATAATAGTGATGCTGTACAAGCAACGCTCGTTTTCTTAATGGTATTTTTTCCAAATTTCTTGTTTGAAAATCTAGAATTTTTTAAGGAATTCTACTCACTGAGCCGTTAACACCGTACAAATCCTTTCTTAGTACATGCTCGATTGCAAATTGAAATGTTTAATTTGAAAGAATAGTGGATCCGATATGACTAACTCCTATTCGAAAAATTGACTATTCACACAAATTTCCACTATCTTCAAATTGGAAAATGCTTCCTACATAAATAAGTGTCTCTTCAAAAGGAAATAAATTTTGTAAAATAGGGTTAATCTCTGAGTGAGTCGTGAAACATTTCTTTAAAAGTTGCAGATTTTCAGTCGAGACAATTGAACAAAATTTGATTGCATTAAAAAAACATGCTCTGCTTGTCGTATTACCGGATTAAGATTGTATTAAAAATATTGAGCACCATCAATTTGTAAAATGGGCGATTACTCGGAAGAACAGTAATTTTCCTTTGTAATATAGTTAGTCTATTTAATTTGTTAAATAACTAATGCCATTAGTTAATTAAACTTGTCATCAAGTAAAATTATATTTTCAAGTGTTTTCGTTAATAGTTGTATTCTAAAACCTAATTCTTTCTTTTATAGGAACATTCGAGTATTCTAAATTGCACACATTTAAATGCATGGAATAGTATAGAACATAATGTGCTGCGAAGACTGGCAGATAAAAACTCTATCCTATATAAAGAGTTAATGAATTTCTGCCGAAGAAGGAAGGAATACGAAAAGTTACCGTTCACGAAGGAGTTGCAGAACATAGCACTTTGAATCTCTCAAATCCTACTCTACGGTATAATTATAGTTCTTGTTCTCTATGCGTGCTTGAAAACCGTTTCAACGAATACGATGGCCCAATAATCGTAGTACAGGGTACAGAAGATTATTTTTCATAAAAATTAGCGGAATAAGACACTCTGTTACCGAGGGAAACTATTTCGAAAGTTTGATGGATACATGTGCACTTAACGGATTATAAATCTTAAACTTGGTGTGGAATACAACATTTAAAAAAAAATGGAAAAAAAAATTTATATTGCGTAATTTTGACTTAATTTGATACAAATAATTACCTTTGACGATCATTGTAATGCCTTGGCTTACGCGTACATGTATTCCAAAATGGAAGAAAACATCCATTGACGTGCAAGATTATATCCCTTGTCAGCAGGCTTCGTGCTGAGTTAGATAAATCGATAAACAATAGTTTCGCTATTATATTCGCCAGAGATGCCTTCTCGGTACGTAGTCAACTTACGAGTTTAGCAGTATACTGAGCAAATTTTCGTACTTATTCTTATACTTGTTCAAGCGACTGCTTATTCTTACTCCTGTTGGTCCTTTCGCCCTGACTCTTACTCCTGTCAAAGTAATTTTGTACTTATTCTTACTCCTGTTGGTCCTTTCGTGTTGAAGTCCTTTCACAAAAATCTAGGAGAAGAATAATAATTATTCGAAATAGATGTACTCGTAGATCATGTTCAGGGCTTAGTATCTTCTGAAATTCGTTTTAATTAGAGCGAATCGCTGGACGCGGAACAAGAATAAGGTTGGTTTAGTAGATTTTGTAATACTAAACATCCATGGAGTAGAAAATAGTATTAAGCCTGAACGTTCCAAATGTAACAAAAAAAGGAGCCGCTGGTAGGGAAATTGAGATGTACTTTTCCTTTGGCATTCGACTGTTGTCAGTCTGAAGTGTACATCTCTGTGAGCAGTGATTGAAAATATGACGGCGAAATACCTGGGCGACAAACAAAGTTTCAATAAGATCACCTCTATTGGAAATATGAAACTTCGTTTATTGCCCAGAGTGACGATTTTCGATTGATTTACAAATGGGGGTGTTCGAGAGTTCAGTTTCGTTTTCTCTGGATTTATTAATATCTACACTAATCCATTTGCAGTATTAACACTTTGACTGCCACGCGCATTTTATTTGACTGCTATGTTACCCGAATATGGGTGACATAGCAGTCAACGTGTTAATGCCGAGTGAGAGAGAACATTCAAAAATTACATTGCCAAATCGAATCACTTGATATTAGTACTTGACAAGTAAATGCTTGAGACTTATTCATGTTTTTCATTATGTAACCGTTAATGAGGGATGAAATCAATCGAACAAAGTTATTATTAGAATTAATTATCGTGACTAGGGTTTACTGCGTTGTTTTTTTGTTTAATCATCTGGAACCGACCTTTCTATTAGTAAACTAGTATTACAACAAATTAGTATTCTACTAGTTTGAAAATTGGTTTAACTTCAGTGTTATTTCTATGTTGAATTGTGGCACGATTATTCGAAAATATCTTTGATCCTGTTTAACATATGCTAATCGCAAGGAAATTCTAATTTTACAAATGTGTGTTAACTTTGAACGAACAACCTTGCCACACATACCAACTCATCAAATTTTTACGACTTACGTTTGTTTGCGTAATGACTATCAGTGATTAAACAGTATTCAGAAATTTATTTGTTTAGTTTTATTATAAAATGTATGTTACGTTTTAGTTATACGATAAAGTGTATTCAAGCTTGTTTATAGCTGTTAAGAAATAAGTTTAAACTATGCGCGACTGATGCTATGATTCTTGCTTAAGAATAAGAAAACAGTTAAAGAACTTACA